AGAGACGGGGTTTCACCATGTTGGCCAGGCTGGTCTCGATCTCCTGACCTCGTGATCTGCCAGCCTCGGCCTCCCAAAGTGCTGGGATTATAGGCATGAGCCACTGTGTCCAGCAAAAATAACTCTTTTTTTTTTTTTTGAGACGGAGTTTTTGCTCTTGTTGCCCAGGCTGGAGTGCAATGGTGCGATCTCGGCTCACCGCAACCTCCGCCTCCTGGGTTCAGGCAATTCTCCTGCCTCAGCCTCCTGAGTAGCTGGGATTACAGGCACGTGCCACCATGTCCAGCTAATGTTTTGTATTTTTAGTAGAGACGGGGTTTCACCATGTTGACCAGGATGGTCTCGATCTCTTGACCTAGTGATCCACCTGCCTCGGCCTCCCAAAGTGCTGGGACCACAGGCATGAGCCACCGCGCCCGGCCCGCAAAAATAACTCTTAATGCACATCTGACCCAAAGGTTTTGACTCAGGGCTTATGAATCTATATTTTTAAACCAGTGTTTCCCATACTTTAGGTGCCTAAGAATTACCTGGAAATCTTGTCATAATAGAGATTCTGAAGCCCTCTACAGAATTTCTGATTCAGTCGGTACAAATCAGAATTAGAGTGGGGCCTAAGATTCTGTGTTCCTAATAATCTCCCAGTGACGCTGTTGGTCCAGGACCACACTTGAGTAGCAAGAGTCTAGGCAGCCCAATTTGGCACCAGGAGCCTGGCAGCTGCCTCAGCACGAAGTCCCAGCCTGACACTTGCTACGTTCCTGATCTGTGCTGGGACACGACAGTCAGGCTGGCATCTGAATCCCTCCCAGGCTGTTCTGTGAGAGATTCTGCTGGGCAGTAGAAAATAAGCAAGTTTAGTCAGAGCCTTTAGTTGTAAACAGAAATTTTTTCCAATCTCTGCTCTGGATATTTGGTTAACACTGGGTACCCAACTCGCAAATGCTTTGAGAAGTTACAAAGGTGGTTTGAGTTGGAACAGTAAACATAAACCCCAAAAAGAAGTCAGACATGTTTGATTTGTAGCTTCTGCCGGCAGCAAATGAATTTTTTAAGAATACGCTGTAGGCTGGGCGTGGTGGCTCATGCCTGTAATCTCAGCACTTTGGGAGGCCGAGTCAGGCGGATCACCTGAGGTCAGGAGTTCAAGACCAGCCTGGCCAACATGGTGAAACCCTGTCTTTAAAAAAGAATATGCTGTAAACATTTTAAAATTGGGAGAGTTTACACCAAAGCCCAGAGTTCTAGATTGCCTTAGAAAACAAACAGAAGATTTAGCAATCCTGGGAGCCCATTTCCAGCATATTTATTTGTGAAGAATATTCTCAAGTTGTTTAAGATGCTAAGAAAGTGTATCTGGGTGGCAAGCTTCAATACCATGCTAAGTTCACTCACGTGCACGACCTGACGGGTGCCTCACGCATGTCAGTGTGCAGCCCCTGACCTGGAGGCTGACAGCCTTGCTTAAGGGGATAAATGATTAAACCCTTCTGAAGGGACTACAAGTCTTGGTTTCCTGGCATCTGGTTGCAGTTCTTAGCTACCGCTCAGGCAGAGGAGGAGGCCTGGAGCAGGATAAGCTCAGAAAAAAAATGCACATGGAATTCAAGAGAGGATCCCTGCTGTGTGTGAATCTGTGCAGTCACAAGACTCCAAACCTCAGTTTCCTTATCGATAAAATGGGGACAGGCCAGGCGTGGTGGCTCACGCCTGTAATCCAAGTACTTTGGAGGCCAAGGCAGGCGGATCACCTGAGGTCAGGAGTTTAAGACCAGCCTGACCAACATGGTGAAACCCCGTCTTTAAAAAATAAATAAATTAAAAAAAATAAATAAAATGGGGACACACTTTATAATAAATTCTGATAATGCAAATCATTTTTAAACTAGGGGTGCCCAGAAGGCACTGTTAATTTTTTTAAAGTACCATTAAAGGCAGTATTTAACATTTTTTAATGTAATAAATCAGTGAAGAAATTTTAGGCTTGGAGAAGAGAAAGACTGTATATGATTTAGACAAGAGGTCAGTAAACTATGGCCTGTGGGTCAACTCTGGACCGCCACCAGTTTTTTTTTTTTTTTTTTTTTTTTTTTTTTGTTTTTTTTTGAGACAGAGTCTCACTCTGTTGCCCAGGCTGGGGAACAGTGGCTCAATCTCAGCTCATTACAACCTCTGCCTCCCAGGTTCAAGTGATTCTCCTGCCTCAACCTCCCAAGTAGCTGGGATTACAGGCAAGTGCCACCATGCCAGGCTAATTTTTGTATTTTTAGTAGAGACAGGATTTCACCATGTTGGCCAGGCTGGTCTTGAACCCCTGACTTCAGGTGATCCACCCATCTTGGACTCCCAACAAAGCACTAAGATTACAGACGACAGCCACTGTGTCCGGCCACTACCAGTTTTTGTAAATAAAGTTTTACTGGAACACAGCCATGCTCATTCATTTACACATTGCCTATGGCTGCTCTCAATGCTGCAGGCAGAGTTGAGTGGCTGGATCAGAGAAGTGTAGCTCAAGAATATTACAGGCCGGGCGCGGTGGCTCACGCCTGTAATCCCAGCACTGTGGGAGGCCGAGGCGGGTGGATCACGACGTCAAGAGATCGAGACCATCCTGGTCAACATGGTGAAACCCCGTCTCTACTAAAAATACAAAAAATTAGCTGGGCATGGTGGCGCGTGCCTGTAATCCCAGCTACTCAGGAGGCTGAGGCAGGAGAATTGCCTGAACCCAGGAGGCGGAGGTTGCGGTGAGCCGAGATCGCGCCATTGC